AAAGAACCAATAAGAGGGATAGAGAAGGCTTAGCTCTGCGAAATTCGTTCGCTCGCAATGAAGTTAACTCACGTCAAACGCAAGAGCTCTCACAAACTCTGTAAACTGGAACCTATCCAACATTGTCTCTTGGAAGTCGATGCTCATCTCTCGTGTGCCGGTGTAAAAGCTCATAGAACAACAAACGTTATCCGGACAAAAGCATAATAATAGCAATGCATTCCGAAGGATTCAAAATACAATCATGGTCTCTACTACCTATGCTACAAAGAAAAAGAAAAGTTACCTAGTGCTCGGGTTACCTCCCGAGAAGCGCTTGTTTAACGTCATTAGCTCGACCTATCTTGCTCAATTGATGGGAGGGTCTGAGAGTGATGAATTTGGAGGTCAGGGTGGTGGTCTATGAGGGTGTCTCACATACTCTGATTTCTCCTCACATGTCATCCATGGTTGATCATCTGGAATGGAAGAGTGAAAAACAAGTATGGAATTATCAAAAAAATGCTTACTTGTTTCCACTGGCCTGAGGATGACGTCTAGATGCTTCCTATCATCTGAGAAACAGACATCGTCTGAGTCACATGTGATGCGGTCCGAGTCAAGTTTCAGAAAGAAATCACTCGGGCTTGCTTTGGTCCGATCAATCTCAAGTGTATGGGAGATATACTCATATTCTGTTTCTCCTTCATTTAGCAATCGAGTAATCTCCCAAATCGCCTCCCAATTGTTGTAGATGTTCTCGTCACCTGTAATCATAGCAACGGGGAGAGCAAACTAGTGTAGATGGTTAGTTTAAAAGAAACACTAAAACTATACATAGGACTCGACTCAAATATATACACAAAAGACTCGAAAAAAAAGACAACTCAATATATATACAAGCAAGATCTAGAATCGATAAAGACCTAGAAATAGGCTAACCAGTCCCCGGCAACGGCGCCAAAAACTTGATACGTGTGTATCGAGTCTAGAATTTATAACCCGATTCACAACTCACCGCAAGGATACGGATCGTCGTAACACGGGGTCGAACGCAAGGACCGGTAGCTAACTCTAAACCCTAATCGAAACTAAATCAAAACAAGTAGAAGTGGAAGTGATGATGAAAATATGTGGAAAGAATGGAGAACGAGTAAACTATCAAGCAACGGTGACTACAGACGTCGGGATCGTATTCACGTGTATGGGTATATGCTAAGCATGCGAGAATAACGATTATGACATGTGTTCGGGAATCATC